ATATAGCAAAAACCCCTAAAAAAAAAAAAAAAGAATATGTACATGCACCCCCTGACATAATATAAGAAAAAAATGCTTTAAGAAATAGTTATAAAATATTTGGTAAATGACCGTCAATAAATACTGTTTACCTTTAAAAATAGCCAGAATATCCACATGAATTCATGACATATTTTCTCTTTTTAAAATATTGTATTTGTGGGACCAGCAGTTGGCGTAATGTCTACGTTGCTGGACTCTCATGTAGTCAACCACGGTTCAAGTCCCAGACCCAGTGGCTTAAACTCATGCCAGGCACGTGTGCTGCGTGCCCAAGATCCTCAGAGGAGAATGGAGGAGAAGGGATTGCAGCATGGCTATCCCTGGAGTGGGTGATGTCTTGCTTTCTGTCTCACAGTCTCTCCCTGTCTTTCTGGCAAGCACATGTGCCCTATAGCAAAAACCTCTCCAAAAAGAATGTATTTGCAGGGCTAGCAGGTGGTGTGGTGGCTGGGGCTCTGGACTCTTACATGGCCAACTATAGTTCAAATCCTGGACCTGGAGGACTTGCTTTCTCAGTTTCCCTCTTTTTCTCTCTCTGTCTCTCTCTGGTGAACACATGTAATAATAATAAGTAAAAAAAGATCCCGAGAGGAGAATGGAGAAGGGATTGCAGCATGACCATCCCCTCTGGGGGGGTGATTTCTCGCTTTCTGTCTCTCTGTCTCTCTCTGTCTGTCTGGCAAGCGCACGTGCCCTATAGTAAAAAATCTCTCAAAAAAATATATATATATATTTGCTAGCTCTGTCTTTTGAAAATGTCTAGAAGTAATGACCAATCCAGTAGTCACAAATTCACCAAGCCCCCAGATCTTGGTTTCTAAATACCATTCTCTGCTAAAGGGAACCAGGACTTCAAAAAAAAAAGGCTGTGTCCAGGTTAGGAGCAGGAAAAGTATAGAATAGGTCTGGGACACCATGTCCTAGCAGGTCTGGGACACCGTGTCCTAGCAGGATGTGAAGGATTCACAGAAGGATGGGACAAGTCAAAAGGTCTAAATGCATTCCTACTGGCCAAGGAGTTATGTTTAATCATCAAAACAATAAATAAATATAATGAATTGAAGCTTATCAAATAGGCTTATTATTCATGAGTTCATAATGACACAAAGCCAAAAATCCTTCAATTGATCACCTTTAAAGAAGTTCTTTGTTCTTTGTTTTTTCTTTTTTCTTTTGGTTTACCAGCCTGTGAATACTGGATGGACACTTCCCTTGTCTCACTGCCTGAATTTAGCCTGAGATATGAGATTCCAGGCCAGTTCTTACCTCCTTCCCTTTCCAGAGACCACTGGGTTACGAAGAGTGTCACATATTGTAGGGTGATCAGGGGGAACAATAGAATGAAATAAATGTTCATTCTATTTAAATTAATAATAGATTAAATTTAATAATATATTAATAAAATTCATAATTTAATATATTAAGTAATTAAATAGAATTAATAAAAACAGAATAGGAAACACGTTTTGGGTCAGTTTCTGTAGTGCAATTGGTGGCAGACCAGATTGTAGAGCTGGAAGACACATTCCAAACACAGTTCAAGTCCCCAGCCTGGTCAGGCCTGAAAACACATAGGCACATGTATGTACCCAGGATCCTGGTGGGCTGGAGAACTGGAAGAAGTGGACTGCAACATGATCAGGTCCTGTGGAGGAGGTTGCTTCTCTTTGTCTCTCTCTTTCCTGTGAGTGTGCACACATGCATGTGTGAACATGCTCTATTATGAATTTTTTCTTGCAGAGGTTTTTGCTAAAAGGCGTGTGTGCTCGCCAGAAAGACATAGAGAGGCAGAGAGACAGAAAGCGAGAAATCATCCCCCGGGGCGATGGCCACGCAGCAATCGCTTCTCCTCCATTCTCCTCTCAGGATCTTGGGCACTCATGCACATGTGCCCGGGGTGAGTGTAAGCCACTGGGTCCGTTAAACCCACCAGGTCCAGGACTCAAACCGCAGTTGACTACATGGGAGTCCAGCGACACAGCCATTATACCAACTGCTGGTCCACTCTATCATAAATTTTTAAAAAAGAAAAGAAACATGTTTTCACCTAGATGAAATCAGCCAACTCAGGCTGTGGAAAACTACAGGAAAAGTGACATTTCTTCAACAAATTGCAGGGAAAGAAATGGGGGATATTTTTTCAAATCTGAAGAGTCATCAACCAAATATAAAGTGTCAATCTTGTTTGGATCCTAAAATACTTATGAGATAAGGATATCTTAACACTGATCAGACATCTGATACTAAGGAATCACTATTAATTTTTCTGAGGTGTGATGATGGTACTGTGGTTTTTTTAAGAGTTCTTAATTTTCTAAGATATAAAGTGAAGTTGTTTGCTTGTTTGCTTGTTTGTTTGTTTGTTTTGGAGAGGTTTTTGGTATAGGGCGCGTGCGTTCGCCAGACAGAGAGAGACAGAGAGACAGAAAGTGAGAAATAACCCCTCCGGGGAGGATGGCCACGCCGCAATCCCTTCTCCATTCTCCTCTTGGGATCTTGGGCACACACACACACACACACACACACACACACACACATGTGCCGGGCGTAAGTTTAAGCCGCCGGGTCCGGGACTCGAACCGCGGTCAACTACATGGGAGTCCAGCAACATAGCCATTACGCTAACTGCTGGTCCCTAAAGTGAAGTTTTTAAGGACGAGATGACGTCTGGATTTTTTTTCCCCACAGGATAAGGGAGG